CCCCCCCCATCGCCTAGTGCGATTATTTTTTATTTCAAAATATGCAGATCCTTCCCTGAGTAGCCTCGGCCTCACCCGAAACGCCCAGCATTACCAACAACGGAAATATGTGGCGCCCTCTCCTTTCTCGTCCATGAGGAAACCTGGCCGTATCGCAGTGGACTCTGTGCTGAGCCTTGTACCCGTGACAGCAGTAGAGCCTCATGCTTTATGAACTGCCAGAGTGAGAAATGGGTTTCTGTCTGATGTGCCAGGCTTTTAAGTCTTGTACCTGTGCCCAGTCCAGAGATTTCTGAAACCATGAGCTAAGTGGTAATTAACACTCTGAGGACTCAGTCTGAGTTAACCGACAACAAACAAATGAGGAAGAGAAAGATTTGCACTCCCACTCTCTCCAAGACAGGTGGAATTCCAGGTTTCAGCTAGGCAGGTTCGGAATCACCTTCAGAAAGGCCATTTGGGCAATAAAGACACATTGTAAAAAATGGAGGAAAAAAACAAATCAATAAATGTTCTCTGAGGGTAATAAGACAGCCCCCTGCCTTCGAATAAAGATAATGATGGCAGTAAACTCCAGCCACCAAGCTTTCCAGATGGGAGGACAATGAAAACACCAATCATTTTTTTGTTTGGGTTTTTTTTTTTTTAAGCCACCTTATCCTGTCCCTCAAAGGGCTCAGAACTGGACCCTGGAGTGCATATTCCAAAGGAGCCAAGAGGCCTCGTAGCTTTGTAAGGAATCCACTGCTGAGTTTTCATATTTTAAGCAGGCAAGAGCATTTGGCCCCATAAGCTCACAGAGGCTCATTTTCTCAAGGAAAACATAACCGGGATTCTCTCACTTCAATGATTCTAGGGGTCTGGAGTGTTCTGAGACCTTGCTGGATTTGAAAGCGTTCCGTAAGCCGAGCGATCGCCCTCCTCCCTTCCTTGTTCTCAAATGGCCCAAGGTCCGAGTCATGGCAGAGATCCTGCCAGCTTCCCTTCTGCCTGCCTCCCTCCTGCAGCCCCAGCTTCTGCCGAACGCTCCCATGTGGAATATGTTATGACAGCAAAATCTTCCCTTTCACAATCTGGTTGATGACTATCCATGTTTCCCCAAAACAACAATATCATGACCCAGATTTGTAAAACCCAGAGGCAACAGCGCGTACAATATAATCTATCTGCAACATTTGCTTGTTTGCTTGCCTACTTGAACTCCTTTGCTGTCTGATATGACTGCTATTACTGTCTTGCCTGCGCTGGCTGCCATACCAGCTACAGATGGGTACCCCGTGTTTCATTCTCTGCACCCCCTGGAAGACGGGGCCCGGGGGAGAAGCCGGTTCTGGCGGGGAAGGTGGGGTGATCGGAAGTGTCTGGAGGTGCTTCTCACTACCTTTCTGATGGCCATCCTTCCTTAAGCACTCTAAAGAAAGGAGGGCACTGCCCTCTGCATCTGTTTCCCAACTGCCCAGGCCTAGGCCCTGGGCCCTAGACCTCATACCGGCCCAGCATGAGCTCAGGGCTAAGGGTGGAACATGTGGCTCGCTTTCAGTAAGAGCAAGTGTCAGCTGTCTACTTGTTGCTTTGGGGACTGGAAAAAACAAAAGACCCAAAATAACAGCTTTCCATTTTATAGGTCTTCCTGCCACCTGACCAAAATGATGAAAAGACCATCATCATTCCAAGTGGCTATCAACGGGGATACCAGTTAAAGGACGCTCACTTTCTACCTTTTCTCTAGATCAGGGGTCCCCAACCCGCAAACCGTGGATTGGTACTGGTCCGTGGCCTGTTAGGAACGGTGGCCAGCGAGTGAAGCGTCCTCTGTATCTGCAGCCGCTCCCCAGCGCCAGCGTCACCGCCTCAGCTCCGCCTCAGATCACTGGGCATTAGATTCTCACAGACACACTGGTCCCTGGTGCCAAAAAGGTTGGGGACTGCTGCTCAGGCATGTACACGTAGCACCTCTGGGGTCTGAGCAGACATGAACTGTTCTAAGCTAAGTAAGACTAAGGAGCTCGGGCTTGAGGCCACAGCCACTGTAAGATGCAATTTAGCTCGGGGCTCTGTACCAAAGGACAGATAAAATTGTTTCATCGCTCTGGGTCCTTATCTACCTGGGAGCTATTAATGCAAAGAGGCCTCAAGGAGGCAGGAGCAGGCGGGAGCAGGTGCAGAGACTGATGGTCTGAACAGCGAGAACCCTTCCTTTCTGGGGCTGAGGCCGGGAAGCCTTCGCGAAGGAACAGTCTCCTTTTCACCACAAAGAACGGGCTGGGGACTCAGTTGGGGTTTCTCCACTTCTGAACTCTCTAATAAGAACAATTTTTTCCCTCACTAGGAGCAGAGTGGAGGGAGGAAATTAAACAAGCAGGGAGGAAATTAAATCTGTTCAAATCATTAGTTTCTCTTCCATTCCTAGGCCCCACCAAGATCCAAGCACCAGCTGAGACCACCTTCGTCGCCTGCATCCCTGCATCGCCTGGACTACCAAGGCTGCCGAAGCCCGGGGACCGGCGAGCAGGAAAACTTGCTTCTCTAGACTCTTAGGTTCTTTGAGAGGGCCCTGCCAGTGACCTTGTCCCTGAGATGATAAAATTCCAGGCCCTGGAGAACTGGTGCCCCTCTCTAGAAGATGAAGGAGGAAGGGAAACAGGGGTGAGTGCGTGAGAACCTTTACCTTCGGCCGCTCTTTTAAAGAAGACTTTGCAGCTTCCGCAAGTGAGAGCTCCATAGTGACAGCCAGAAGCTTCATCCCCACAGATCAGGCACGTCTTCTGCGGTGGAAAGTAGTAGTCGATGGGCAGAACGTGGTCCCTGGCGGTCTCCAACCTGGGGAGACACAAGGAACACAACGCGACACGCGTCAGTGCTTGGCACGAATGGCAAGGTAGAAGTCAGAGATCTTCGGGAGTCCCCCACACTGCTGGCGGGGATAACGGAAATGAAACAAAAGGACGAAAAGCCCTCAAAATGAACACACGAGGGAATGACTGTGATTAGTATCATCACGTCAGTGTTCGTTGGTGTTTTCTCTCCATTGTCTCGCTTTCCACAGAAGTCTCTCTACATCATGTGGACGTGCCCTGTCCCCCCGCAACGTAAAGTACCCGAATCCCTACGCCTGAAGCTCCTGCTGAGAAATGATGGGCGGCGATGCTACAAATGTCTTAGGGCTGCCATCTCGGCCCCTGGCCACTAAAATCATACGTTCCCTGGGCTGGGATGGAGCTTCTGAGGTCACCCGGTCTAACAGCCTGTCTCCAAGAAGACCTGTGTCTGAGTCCTTCTAGGCGTCTGTGAAAGACAGGGCCACAAAGCCAGTCGCGAAACCTGGATGGCATGGCTCATTCTCAGTCTCCCGTGGTAATTAATTACAATTTAAGCAAATGAAGCATGGTTTTTACTACCTAGACATCAGTTTCTTTTCTCTCCTATGTCCTGTATCTAAGCATTAAACGAAACTCAAGTGACCCCTTGTCATCTGCCTCAGACAGATGACAACTGCCCGGGTTCTCACGCACAGGAATGCAGCCACTATTGTTTATGAGTACTTCTTCCTTAACCCGTTATGGTGGCCTGTTTGCTGGGTGGGGTGATTCTGACATCCCAAAACAACTGTGTGAGATGATTTTCTTTCCTCCTGATTTCACATAAAGAAAATCGGACTCGGAGAGGAGCTGCCCAGGACTATCTGACTCCAAATCCGGCACAGTTTTCATTACCCTATTATCTTCTCGCTACTCCCCTTGACTGTCAACCTGTGGGCTCTTTGGTAATCACACTCGGCACAGTCATCAGAATCAAAATGAAACAAAAAAGGAGGAAAGGTTATCCTCCCTTCCACCTACCAATGAGCAGCCCTGGCAGAGCGACAGCGGAGAAAGCTTTCTCAGGCTACGCTTGACGAGCAAGCACTTTACCTCGGAGACACAAACATCCGCTTTTCTTCAAGTCCCAAGTTTGACACAAAGCACGGACAAAGCTCTGCTGATCTGCAAACCTGGCAGCTGGCTATGGTGACCTGTCTGTTCTCCCCACGAGCCTTCTGTTTGGTATCATTACTGGAAAGCCAGCAGGAGTCTGCCCGCCAACCAGGACTAGCAAGGGCGCAGATTCCCCAGGGAAAGAACTTCACTTCCCATAGACGAGTGGGTGAAATGCTACCAATGTCTTTCCCTGGGCTAAAAATATCATTTCTTTGGGTAAAAATTATGCCCCCGTCCTCATTCATAAAACAAGGAGAAGCTTTTTTTTTTTTTTTTTTGCATGTATCTGTATCCTTTTCCTGTTTTTGGAGTTCTGTAAGTAATACAAACTGTTCGAACGGAATCAGAAGGGCATGCATGCAGGCAGCCTGTTTGCCTGCCCTTTTCACGTCCGTAATCTCACTTGATCTTCCTGACAACCCTGTCAGGTAGCTCTGTATTGTCCCTATGTCGTATGAGAGGGAACTCATGCTGACGAAAATTGAGTAAACTTGTTCAAGATCACTCTTCTAGTAAGTGGAAAAGCCAGGATTCTATCCTAGCTAAGTCTGACTCCAGAGTGTGGATCTGTAACCAATGACTAACCATGTTATAAGACTGGAAGTTGAGATTGGATAGCTTGATTCAACTCGACTCCTAGAACCTAGCCCCATGGTCTAGGTGCTGGGGTATAGTGGGGTTTTTTGGGGAGGGGGGGTGGATAGAGTGCTGATGAAGATATTAATCTAGCCTCCAGTAACTTACTGTCTAGTAGAGAAGACAGGAAACAAGGAACCGTAGAACACAGTGAGTGATACAATAGAGCGCAGATTGTCACAGATTAGAAAGCACCTCAAAGACAGGAGGTTTTTTGAAAGGCGACATAGTATACATGGGTAAATGAGATCGCGGTGACAGCAACAATAATTATTAGTATATAACTGCACAATAAATATCAGATAAACAAAGTGGAAACCTATGTGAAGTAAATAAGAGGTCTTTTTAGAAAGAGCCTTTAAGAGAAATTTCCGTCTGTACTAAAATTGAAAATACACTTCCGATTGTTGAAAAGAATCTAACTGATCAAATGTATAACCGATGCCTAAAAAGAGGAGAAAGTCATCGACATTTTTCATTAGATATGAATTTAATAAAATACATCTTACACACAAATAACTGTAAAGAAGGAGAAAGAGGAGAAACGATGAAGACGATTTTAGAACTTGAACTTGTCCTAACTACAAGCCACCCTGACTGGAGGCCTGCGGTATCTCCTGACCTCACCAGGTCATTTTCCACCTACCTCTCCTGGCAAAATATTCCAGCCAGCTCTCCCACTGACCCTGGCCTAGTGCTCACAAAGGGCACACTGCAGTTTTGAGTCATGAGCTGACCTTTGAATAAAAATCTCAACCGTGGTGCCTCTCCCACGTCTACATCCTAGAGAAATCCGCGCATATTCGCATTGGGAGGCGTGAGTGGGAATGGTCATGACGGCCCTGTTCGTAAAAGCAAAAACGATCACCATCTGCTGACGGGAAAGAGAAGGAAATTATGGCACACTCATTAAATCAAACGCCAGTCAGCCAGGAGAAGGAACAGAATACAGGCACGTATAGGTGCATCTCACGAGCTGATGTTGCATAAAAGGCGAACTCATAATAGCATACATACAATATAACGCCATCATATAATGCCCGAAAAGAAGCAAAAGTAGATAATATATATGTAAATATATGTATGAAAAAAATATGCCAGGGAATAAACCCAGTCTATTACCTCTGAGGGGAGGCTGGGGATAATGACATAAGAAAGGAGGAATCGAGTTAATCTATGCATTCATTTAAAAACCATTTATTCAGCACCTACTACATACCAGGCACCATTCTGTGTCCTGGCATTGGAGCAGAGAATGACAACAGCAAAAAGAGATGGCATTGATATTTTTTTAATCAGGGCTCACGTGTGTTCATTTTATTATTACGTTCGACATAATAATGCATGTACGTGTACTCTTTTGTATAACAGCACGCAGTAAAAGGAATATTAAGACGACGTTTCTGACATCCTCCTGAATAACACCCTACTTGCAAGTACGGCAGAAGTTTGCTTTGAGAACGAGTACAGAATCTTTCTCATGAGACGCTGGGTGTCCTTCTGCCTCCCCCGAGTCGCACGCTCACTCACTCTCCCAACGCAGGGCACTTGGCTCATGAGTCTGAAGCGAAAGCGCTACGACATAGAACGGGAGTTTTCCAGACCAGAAAGAACACCGCTCCCTATTCTCCGACACTGTTAATTAAAGTGTATTACGTTCAGTGAAAGTGTAATCGTTCACTGTTAATTAAAGCGTATTACGGATGCCGGCTCAATCTTGGGAAAATGGGGCTCAGAAACGCTCAGCACCCAGCTGTAATCTCAACCACTCGATCGATCGATCGATCGATCAATCAAACCCTCCCTCCCTCCCGCGCCCTCTTACTCCGAGATATCTTAAGGGGTCTAATTTAAGTAAGGCCGCCAATGATTATGGAACCAGGGTGAAATGCACGAGTCACAGAGCAGTTTCTGCCGTTTGCTCTGCAGAATGGCCAGCCCTCCACCACTGAACCCTGAGCTCCATTTTCATTCATCACATTAAGGAATACAGTGACAACTTTCCATGAATTTTTAAGATAAAAATAAGAGAGTTTAAAGTTAGTCTTAGAGAGATCCCTTGCACCTCCTTCTCTGTGGGTACAAGGGATGCTTCGATGGAGAAACTGGCCAAGTAATGGCATAAGACTGGTACCTTCTCTTCCTGCTGCTGCTCAGGTTTGAAATTTGATGACAGTCTGTCCAGGAGGACATGTTTCCGTTTAAAAGTAGTATCTGACTTTACTTCATAGCTCTGCAATTCTGTATAACAGTGCCTTTTGTTGAAATGGAAAGATAGATAGGTAGAAGATCTGATTTTCATGCCCGTCTGTGTCACTTTCTAAAAGAATGACCTTGAAGAAATCATTTAGTTTCGATTTCTTCATGTGTGAAACAGGTCAAGAAATATAGAACTCACAAGGTAAAGCAGCCCAGCATGTTGCTGGCACAGTGCTTAAGAACTGGACATTATAATAATAATAATCTCATGAGAGAATGATAGGAAGGAGAGATGGCAGAACTGGATTCTAAAAAACCACCTCTGAGGTAGGGATCCTTACTCCTACTTTTAAGATATGGAAACGCAGACTCACTTAAGATCAATGGCTTGTCTGAGTTCATACAGTTAGTAAGTGACAAAGCCAGAATTCACGACGGGGACTATTACCCCCTAAATCAGGATTTTGCCACTATTCTAAATTGCCAATATAATGGTTGTTATAGCATGGCTTTAATTTACTTAGGTTATTTTAACAGGTTTATTGATATATAATTCGCATACCATAAAATTCACCCATTTGGGCATATTTGCATTTAGTGTCACAAACTAATTGTAGAACATTTTTATTGCCCCAAAAAGAAGCCCTGCACCCGCCAGCAGTCATCCCCCATTCCCTCCTCCTCTCGACTCATTTACTTTCTGTCTCTAAAGATCTTGAACTCATGTCCTCCCTCAGACACACTGAGTCGACAGCTAAAGGCTGGCTGAGTGATGACTACACGTTTGACCAATGAGAAGACCACTGGACCCGAGCGATCTAAGACACTGCTCTTAAAGGGTCCGCATGTCTGGACTTACCCAGCCCAGGGCTCCGCTCGGAGGCAGCCGACCGCTCCCAGACTTAACATGAAGGAGACTCGCCAGCTTATATTAGAGCAGTGGCCTGAGGGGCAGGCACCTGATTTAATGTGCACATCTAGGAGCCTGTGGGAACACTTTCTGGGGACGCAGAATTAGGGGTGCCATCTCCGTGCCCTGCCTTTGCTGTGCCTCAAAGCGTCAGTATCTCCTGGAAGCTTTTGCATGTGTCTCGTACCCCTAATTGTACAGCTACAGCCGAGGGGATGCTTCGTGACCGCCTGGCTCTGGAGGCCAGAGGAGCCTGTGTTCTTGGTCCGACGGGACTGCCATAACTGGTGTCATCCAGAGGGGAGCTCATAGCCCTGTCTGGTGCCTTCGTTTTTGTGACTGCTGCCTGGGGACACCTCTACATCGCCCAGTTTGGTGACTAGTGGGGCTTACGCTCACGGGTCTCGCAGTTCTGTAGTAAATGGAGAAAGAGAGCTCTTCAACAGCTACCACACCCGGGGCACAGCAAGAGGCGGATCTGGGAGCTCGGTCTTTCTGTAGAGGAGGCCTGTTAGCTAATGATCTTGACTGCGGTGGGGCAGGCGTCCAATTAAGCGCACATCTAGGGACTGACTGTAATCCTTTCCAGAGACCTTGAAGGCAGCACTATCTTTGTTTTCACCCTCTGTCATGCTCCAGAGAGCCAGTGTCTCTGGGAGGGGGGTTTCTACATGTATCTGTTGCCCTGGTTTTTATGCCAGGTGCCTGCTTTTTGTGGCTGGTACCCAGGAGACAGCCCTTAATCATCAGGCGCTGGGGGCTGGGGGTTTTGGGGCTGCCACTTCTGAGTCCCATGGGCCTGTGGCAATCAGAAAGGCAGTTCTTGACAGGGTACTACCCATAGGACACTACCCAGACAAGAGACTGAGGCACAGCCCCGGTCTTTCTGTGAAGGAGGCCTCTTGCTTGTCCTGGAGCTTCAGAATGAGGGGAAGACTTCAGATTTGGCACGTATTTATTGGCCTATGGAGTTGCTCTCAAGGAACGTAGGCTGTGGACGCCATCTCGTCTTTCTGCCTTTCTTCACGCTGTTGGTATCACCCGGAAAAGAGCTATACACTCGTCTAGAACCCCGGTTTCTGTGACTCATGCTCGAGGGATACTTCCAGATCGCCTGGCTCTGGTGGTCTGCAGGGCTTATGCCTGTGGTCCCACAGGGCTGTATATATTTGCATACTTTTAAAACCTGACGTCTGAGGTTCTGGCTTCCAATCATATTGAATCTAGGTGCTGACTGAGCTCCTTCCCTTTGGGATGCTGACAGGTCTTGGCACATACTCAAATACTGGCAGCTATAAAATTTATAATAGGCTATTTAAACAAGCATAAATATTTGAGAGACAACCAAGAGTTGAGGCGGGGTTGAATGACAAGTTTCATCTCTTATACGAGGCCATTCTTTCAAGACAGGAGGAGGTAGTTCCTTCATCTAATGTCTAGAAAAAAAAAACACTGTATGTTCAAAATGAAAGAACAAGACATAAGACATGTAACTGACCTGATAAAGAGCTCATAGTAATGGCCATAAAGTTGCTCATCAAACAGGGGAGATGAATGGATGAACATGGTAAAACCTCAACAAAGAGACAGAAAATATAAGCACCGAATATAAGTCACGAAGCTGAAGAATAACTGCACTAAAAATACACTTGAACGGTTTAACAGGGGACTAGATGAAGAATAAAAAAATGAGTCAACTTGAGGACAAAGCAGTGGAACTCACCTAATCGGAGCAGCAAAAAGGAAAAAGAATGAAAAAAGTGAAGCTAGGTTAAGGAACTTATGGGACAGCATTAAACAGACTAACATTTGAATCACAGGGCTGCCAGAAAAAGAAGAGAGGACAAAGGGGTAGAAATCATATGGGAATAAACAATGGCTGAAAACCTCTCTAACCTGGAGAAGGAAACAGACATCCAGATTGAAGAACTGAGAGTTCCAAATAACAGGAACCCAAAGAAACCCACATCAAGACATATAATTTAAATGTTAAAATTTAAAAACAAGGAGAGAATATGAAAGGCATCAAGAAAAAAAAAAACAACCTGTTATTAAAAGGGAACCCACAGAAAACTATCAGATTTTTCAGCAGAAACTTTGCAGGCCAGAAGGGATTAGCACGATATATTCGAAGTGATGAAAGGAAAACCAAACCAAACCAAACAAAACACAAACTTCCAACCGAGAATACTCTACTCGGCAAAGCTATCATTCAGAAAAGGAGAGAGAGAGTTTTCCAAACAAGTCAAAGCTAAAGAATCTCATCCCCACTACACCAGCCCTATAACGAATGTTAAAGGGACTCTTTTAAGCTGAAAAGAAAGGGCACTAAGTAGTAACAAAAATACATATGAAAAATACATCTCACCAGAAAGAGAAATGCTAGTTACAGTAGTGGATGAATCACTTATAAAGCTAGTATGAAGGTTAAAAGACAAAGGTAGCAAAAATAACTATGACTATAATTAGTTAAGGGATGGACAAGAAAAACAATATAAAATGGGACATCGAAAACATGAAATGTGGGGGCGGGGAGAGCAATAATACAGAGCTTTAACAGTGGGATTAAACTTATGGTTTTACCAACTTAAAATATACTGTTCTAGATATAAGTTGTTGTATGTAAGCTTTATGGTAGCCACAAAGCAAAAGCCTATAGCATGTACAAATAAATAAAAAGAAAATATATAAGCATACCACCAAAGAGTCATCAAACCACAAAGGAAGTGAGCAAGAGAAGAAAGGAACAGAGACGAACTATTTTA